TTTCTGACAAACAGCCCCACATTAGATGAGCCAGAGCCTGTACTACAAATAACCTCACTCCATGTAACTGGAGATAGACTTGGTAGACCTTGGCTATCTGCGCTGTTGGATCAAGCACTGTCCTGCCATAAACCTCCTGTAACTTTGTCTATAAAATTGCTCCTACCCTTATTGAGATCACAAAATCTATTGGCCGAGACTCTTAAAAGTGTCTCAAAAAGATTTCTTTGGAAAGCAAATTGGAACAGGTTTGGCATCCAGTGGCTTCTCAGTAACTCTGTTCCTTAACATGGGCAGATGGAGTCCGTAGGACGCTGAGCTGCAGAGCTGTGGGCTGGATGCCAGTAAGAGACAGGGCACAGACAGGAGAGCAGCGGTTCCTTACCAGACCTCACAGTGCTTTGGCCATACCCACTTCATGGGAGTATCACTAGGTGTTTAATTTCAGTGGAACATGGATATAACCAGTCTAGCTTTCATATCTGACCCAGCTCAGTGGCTCCAGCAGGTTTTTTCTAGCACTGTGGAATTCAATACCACCCTCCACTAGAAAATCAGGTAACCTATAGCCAGCTCTTTGCTGAACCAGAGCTACAGTGTGTTCCAGTGCTGGAGCCAGCTAGTTCAATGTTTGCTTTTAAGTATACCCTATAAAACACCTAAACGCATCAGCACCTGTGGTGCTCGGCATTGCTGGGGGTTTGTTACAGTTTGTGTTACCAGTGTTAGGCTGATCTTCAACGTCTGCTTCAGCATCCTGGGCTGATACTTGCTCCTAAAAACTAACGGAGCTTATAGGAGCAGAATTGCCTGTGTTCCTGTGGCGATAACGCTGCATAAAAGAAATGCTTCACTGGTCTCTTCCACACCAGCCCTGGTGCGATCAGGTCCTGAGAGCCTGAGTGAGCAACCAGGGCGCTTGGAAAGGAAACAAGAAGTAAAGGGGACTTACTAGTCCTGTAAACAGAGGAGCAAAGGAGAACAGTGAAATATAAAGGCAGACCTGTTTGACCTGGTGTTTTTACACCTTGTGAAAACATTCCTCCTTCTGGTTTTGGAGAGATCAGAATTCAGCAGAAGTTAGTTACTTCAGCAGTGTGGTGGTGCTGCCTGCATTGTTTTTTCAACACATTGCTGCAACTTTCTGCCAGGCTGTGGGCACTGAAAATACGCAGAAGAGTCAGCTCAGGGAAGATGATGATGGGGGTTTTTGTTTTGTCTTAGTGGCTTAGATTTTTTATTTTTTTTTTACATCCTCAGATTGCACTGCAACAAGAGGCTGTCTGTTGAAAGGGTTTTGCACAGGACCTTCCTGTAGTTTGCTAGTTATAAATTACTAATGTACTCTGTTGCACATGTTTCTACCTTTTGTGAATTCCTTCAGAGACTAGTTCCAAGTCAAAAGCATAAGAAATCTTCATTAAAATACCTTCCTAAGCTTCTCTACTCTTTTTAAAATGCACTGAAAAATGTCACCAAGGGCTGCAAGTTAGTTCAATCACTGATGCCTTTCACTGCCACCTGGAATTGTATCTGTACCAGTGGCTGGCCCGTTATGCCAGTGATGGAGCTGGTGCTCCTGAAAGAAAATCATGACAAATTGAAATATGTTGCTGTGCATTTATGCAAAACTGAAACTCAGAGTGGATGGAAAATATTTGCTCTCCAATTCTATACTACTGACCATGTGTCCTGAAACTTGAAATTTAATTTAGCACTGCCTTAGACAGAAGAACCTTTGCTTTTCTGTTTTTGTTTGTATGGGTTTTTTTATTTTTCCCCCTTTTCTGTTTGAGAGCCCAGCTGACCCGCAGAGGTCTGACGGTCTTCCAATTCATTCCCATTCTGTAGTCTGGAGGTTGGAGCTTGTCTCCATCACTTCTCTATTTAAGGTCTTAATTCTTTTGGTTCCAGCCCTATGGATGGAATATGAGATGATCTCCGAACAGATTTCTTGTTTTAGCTAGGTCAAGTTTCCCAAAGTGTCCTATGGTTTCTTTGCATATGGTTTGCTTGGCTTGCAATTGAGGTGATTTCAGAGGTTCCTGGTTATTCCTGTTGCCTACTGATGTGAGCTCACATGCCCTAATTGGAGCTCTACAAACCAGAGACCACTTTTCAAAATTTGAACCACTGTGTTCTGCTTTGAATTGGTATCTTGCTGTGGGCTACTCACCCTTGGATGTTTGCACAGCTTTGCTGGCTAAACTGAAGGAATGTGTGCTGTGCTTCAAGTGAAGAGATCCCTTTGTTGAAAAGGTTTATGACTTTCACGGTGTAAGTTCAAAATTTGACTTTTCTTCAGTGTGAGTACCCCTGAATATATTCACCTGACTGTCAAAGGAAATGTCGGTCAGTTGAGTTTGGACCACCTTTCTGTGGAACATCTTTGCTGTTGAATGGAGCTTAGACCTCCCTCTTGCTTTCACTGATGTGGCTGTTCTCTCGCTTCGCTTGTTTTGCAGCAAAGCAGACCCAGCAATGCCTGGGAAAAGAGATGAGAGAATAGTTGGCATTATTTCTGCTGCTAATACTTGCTGCAGTCACGTTTTATTGTTGCTAAAGTGTCACTGATAGGAAGGGTACCTCCTCTCTCTGCATAACTTAGATTGTAGTTTACAGTAATTATTTGCAGAAATTCTCTCTGATGTGTACAGACCAAATTCTGACCTAGTGAAAAATCAGCATATTTACTCTAAAGCAAATGAGACTGGAAATTAGACTTGCGTAGTTTCATACATTGATTGGTTAAAGAACTAGACCCAATAACATGTTTAGTATGCTGTTTCCACAAGAAATAATTAGCTGGAGAAACGTCAACATTTAGATGCCTTTCTAAACCATACTGTGAGCTAAGTTTTCCTCTTTGCCATCTAACACACTAGACAGGGGCTCAGTTCCTGAGTTCAGGCTTCCTGGCTCTGCCACCGGTTTCCTGTGTGCGCCTGGATAAGGCTCTTCACATTTCAGTTGCCTGTTTGCAACAGGGCAAGAGTGTCCCTCTGCCTGCCCTCCTCGGGTCTGAAGGAGACGGTCTGTCTTTCAGGCGTGTCTGCGCAGTGCCCAGCAAGAACGGATCAAATGTTAAGCCAGATCTAGAAGTGTTGCTGATGAATAATAGGAAAAGTTGACTGGTTTCCTTTTTTTCACAATTGCAACAATGCCGTGTGAAGCCCAAACCCGCGCTGGACTGTGCTCTGTGGTGGCACTCCTGAGGGCTTGACTTCAACACAGGTGGTCCAGAGCATCTGGCATTGTCCGAATAGAAAGTGGGCTCCCATGTTCGAGGCAAGAAGACTATTTTAACCAGGCCATGACACAAGGTAAATGGGACTGTTGTCCATCTCTGGCAGCTGCTGATGGACAAGCCCACGTATCATAAAAAGGCCATTGTTCACGGCCACTCTGACGAAGAAACGCATGCTGCTAACAACAGTCCGCTTCCATCAGCTGAGCTGACAAATTGGTTTTCTTCTACTGCAACTTCAAACCAGCTGTTGCTTTACAGCAAATACTCTGGACAAAAATACAAGGCATCATGTTTCCTATTTGGGCACTATCTCTTTGGCCATTACTTGCACTTTCTGATAAGAAACTAATGCTGAAACGCAGCCAGTGTCCCACTGACTGGGAAGCAGTCAGGCTTATTCTAAAGCTGAAAGCAAATGGTATCTTGTCCTGAAAAACACTACATCCACAGCTCTCTCCATCCTTTGCACGAATGCCTCGGATGAATAAAGCTACCTGCTGCTACTACTATTCGTTCTCTTAACTGTCTTCTTGTAATGAGTAAGCAAATACTCAAAACAAATATGCCAAAAATAAAATGTGGTGATCTATGCACTCATGATGGCCAGAAATTTATGGGCTTCCTGAGACAGGTAGGGCTGCCCTGTGGTGAAGAAACTGGGAAATATGAATATTTGCTGTCTCACAGATTTTCTGTGATCTTAGGAAAGTCACTTACTCTATTTTTAACTTGGTTTCCTGTCTGAAAAAACGTACAGTAAGAGCACTCTGTGAAGATGCTGAAAGATATAGTGGCAGAACATACAGAGGCAGAAGTATTCAGATACAGGTGATGTCTGTGTGATGGAGAGAAACACGGACACTGTTTCGGATATGCTTACTTGAAGATCAGCTCATGAATGCGCTGACCTGCCATGAAGACTCACCAGCCAGCAGAGCTGTTCATTTGGTGTCATTGTGTGCATAATTAGATTTTTCCCTGAGCTAATGCATCACATAAATCATTAGCCTGGGATGCTTGGAATTGGTGGGATCCAATTGTCTAGTCTGGGTGGACACGGACACAGCTAGCTGGAGTCTGGGTCTTCACAAGTACCACAGCCCATCGCTGCTCTACAGTGATATTTCTGCCACTGGTGTTACCACTGGGCACTTATTAACTCCCTTAGCATTGATGTCACTGAGAGGTCTGTCTTCATAAGGCTCTAAGAAAAGAAAAAGTTTAAAGGAAAAGAAGGAAGGTTGGGGTTTTGTTTGTTTGTTTGTTTGTGGGTTTTTTAGATAAGAAATAATTAGCCTTTTTCATGTGCAGTTGAAGTCTCCAGGTAAATTGGGTAGCAGGCAGGGAGGCATGAGTTTTATTTTTGGATGGTTGATGCATTTTCTCTGCAGCTTCTGACAGAATTCACAGAACGCCAATGAGAAAACCACCTATTTTTCATATAGGGATGTTCATAATAGGTCTAAGTAATGAACATTAGCAATCTTTTTCAAGAGCCTTGGGGGAAAAGGTGGTGAAGAAGCATATTGCAGTAGTATTATTATCTATTTCCTTACTGCACTGAACACAACAGACACAGGCTGCAAACGTTTGGCACTCTGAAACCAGCGCTCTGAGAAGTGTTGTTTAATGTGAAAATGTGTGGACTTCAATGAAACTGAAATTAAGGCGGAGATGAACACCAAACCAGAAACTAATGAAGGTTTTTGCTGGTGTAACGGTGCGACGCTGATGTTTTTTCTCTCTCCAGAACACCTTGGCGAAGGCGCTATACGACAACAAAGCGGAGTGCTCAGATGAGCTGGCTTTCCGCAAAGGAGACATCCTGACGGTTCTGGACCAACACGTCATCGGCAGTGAGGGCTGGTGGAAATGCTCTCTCCATGGCAGGCAGGGCCTGGCCCCCGCTAACCGCCTCCAGCTCCTCGCCGCCTCTCAGGCTGTCCTGCTGCCTCCTTCCACCCGCAGCGACTCCGTGGAGTCAACAGTGGGCCAACAAAACATCTACCAAGTTCCCTCCGTCCCCAAGCCTACCGTGTTGTCATCCACCTATGAGAAGATGGAGGGGTGGGTTAAATCTCCAGCGAGGGTCTCTACCCTAACTGCCCAAGGAATCTACCAGGTACCAGCCTTGGCTGCACAGCTGCTCAGTGAAAGGACCCAAAGCTCAACAAACCAGGTAAGAATGTAAGCATCTGTAAAAGTAACAAATGTTATTAAAACAATCATTGGGAGCGGCGAAAATAATAAAGGCTGTTGGCCTGAGCGTTTCAGTGGAATTCACAGCAAAGCCATTCTGATAAATGATGTTTAGGAAACTCCCATCGGTTCTACTTCAGTTTATAGCATTGTGTGAGAAATGCTGCTCTGGGGAACAGATGAGAGTCTCTGTATTCTGTAGTCCCTCACTTTTTTTTGACAGTTTAAAGCAGCTCTAAAATAGGGCAGGAAGTAAAGAATATACCATTTGTTTGGAAGAATCTAGAAATGGTTTACAAACCTACTCCAAAGTTAAAATAACAAGATACAGAACTTTCTCCTCTGATGGTCTACAGCATGCGTCCATCTGGAATCCTCTGGGCACACTTTGCATCCATCTGCATAGAAAGATGATTCATAATTTAAAAAAAAATCACGCTTTTCTGTGCCATTGCTTCCTTTGGTCTAGTTCTTACTATTTCCAGCACCTCAGCAATCTCAGAGCACTGCTGCCACTCTCTTCTGCTACTCAAGGTTGTCACTACACTTGCACAAAGCAGGAGCACCTACTAGAGACGTACTGGAGGGCGCAGGGTTTGGTTGTGCAGTCTGAAGCAATTTCTCTCCCAGCTGGTTTTTGCTGCTGCTGAGACAGTGACCAGGATATATGGGATAAGAGCAGCCACCAGTGTCCCCCTAGTTACAGAGGAGAATTGCAAACCTAGCTTCTCAGGGTGTCATTCCAGCTGCCTGGCCTCTTCTTTCTCCCTGCTCCGTGCATTGGGTGTTCAAATGAAACATGTAAGTGGAAAACGTAATTTAACTAAATATTATCTCAAGTGTCTTAACACAGAAAAAACTTGTGCTTGCTTCAGCATAAAATGAATGGGGAATCTAAAGCAGGTGCAGATGGAATTCAAGCACAAGTTTTTGTTCAGTCTTATGAGCTCTTCAACCCTGACTGGCTCTTTATTCCATGTATGACAATCACGTTAGAAACGTTAACTGAAAAAGGAAAAGGAAAGAAATTCAGCCCAGAACTATACAGCCTTTTAGGCTGATTTAATGATAATTTGATGTATGGGACTTGGTCGGCCAGCTTTCATCCTGCTGTGCCAAAAGGCAAGTTATGGAAACCGAGGTGCTGGTTCCTTCTGTGTGGCAAACGGGTGCTGCAAAACAAACAAACTCTTCGCGTCTCTGGTGACTGAAACCTATTTTTCAGCGCTGCAGCTGCATGTTCAGCCTTTGTGTCCAGTTACCATAACTGCAAGCTCAAACAGAGAAATAGCTACAAAAGACCCCTCTGCACTTGCCGTGATCTGATTTCTCCACATTCCCAACCCTAAGAAGGCATTTGCAAATTGAATGCAAGATTGATACGAATTTTCCACGTTGTGCCAGCAAATCAGGCTGAAAACGTCATCTCCTATTCTTTATCTGAATGAATGGCCCAACAGAAGAGCTCCACAGCTATTCCTGTGTCTGTCATTTCACGAGTTTATATACCTAAGCCTTGTTTACTCTAACAGAGCAGGGAAAAAAAAAAAAGAAATCCTAGCCTGCTTTGATTACTTCGAAGTTCAGATTTGCCTGAGCTGCCTCTGGCACAGCGTCCCAGCTGTTACTACACCAACTGTACTGTGGGCTCACACGCCACGCACAGATGCTCGGGGTGAGCCGCCTGTGCAAGTGCAGCGCGAGCAGCAGCGCTCCGGACCGCCCCGCGTAGATCCGATGGGACAACTGGCAAAGTTCCTGGCATACTCAGCTGCCCTCTGAGCAGCTGGGTAGAGCCACTGTTAAGTCTTTGAGGGAGCTGATTGAAAGCAATAAACAAAACAAAATCCTTCAAAGCCTGCGTGTTTTCACCCTCGTTGCTTCTGCCTAATACACAGGGCACCTTCTTGCTTTACTGTGACTGAAAGTACTTTGAAAAAAAAAAAAAAAAGTAAGATGTGATATTCAGTGAGTTTCCTTTTTGCTGTATGCTAAGTAAGATTTGTCCATCTGAAAACAAGCCTGGACTGAGAATGGCTTTCTTGTAAACCACTTAATTTTTACTCTTTCTACTCAAGGAAGTATCTTCTTTCATGCCTCTGTTTGCAAGCAAGGTGGCTCATATCGCAGATCGCTACAGGGATTTGCATTCACTCCTCATTGCCTTTCTTCAGAAGAGAGCTGAGAGCTTTTGCACAGATGAAGCAGGCAGCTGTAAAGCTGGAGTCTTGTTCCTCTACCATATTTCCCCTAAGTTTAGTTGCTACAACACTTACATGATGGAGAACATTACCTCCAATTTTAAATAATTTAATGTTTCATTTCCAGCGGTGTTTCTGTGGGTCAGTAGTTTGCAGCAGTCCATTTATAAACTAGCTGTGGAAAGCTAGGCTAAACCCATGCTGAATGAACAAAACACAAAGTTTTGGGGGTTGATTTTAAAAAAAAGTCCTTTCCCAACATTTGTGTTTTGGCACCTTAACTAATTGTCCCACAGATCTGGTCATGGCTCTTCGAATTATATTCTAAGCAAACAGAAGAATTGGTCTGTAATTGACTACAGACGAATAATGTAATTCCCATATCAGCCTTCTCTGTTTATGGAGCCAGACAAGGCATCGAGGTAACTATGATTGCTCCTTCTAAATCAGTCAGTCTTTCCTAACTAGAGAGAATCAGTTAGTCTTTCCTAACTGAGAGTAATGCATCTCAGTCTGTATGTTTTTGCTGCTCTTACTTCTGCTAAATACGGCTTGACCTAATGGCTCTGTGGGCCTGGAGAAGCAGAAATTCCCCCGCTTTCTTTTTTCAGTGGTTCTGCTTTTGGGTAGCCTAAAGATTTAAGCGATAACTGAAGCTGGATTTTCTCAGAATCTTTTCCCCCTCCTTGGTTAGTAAGGCAGATTGTGCGTGATTTGTATGTGCCAATTCTTAGTTTATCTGAAATAAAGCAGAAATGCTGGCAAAGGAGAATTACGGGGAAAGAATACCATGCCTGCTCATAAGGTCAGTTCCTGTCTATCACCATCAGTGAAAAGTTTCAAAGTTTTTAATCTCTCAAGAGTGATTACTCTAACAGTGGCCTATTCAACTAATTGAGTTTTCAAAAATGTCCTGTGCTTACTGCTCACTGCAGCTTTCTCATTATTGTTTTTTGTTCCCCTCTAAGCATCTGCTTACTCTCCCGAGAGCATGCCGGGCTTCAGTCCCAAACATCAGGAGTGAGGTGTACGATGTTCCATCCACACAGCGCCGGGAGTCCTTACTCACACAGGTGAGTCCTGCTATGGTCCCCCCCATGCAGCTGGGACCCTGTAGGACCTCTGAATAGATTTTAAGGTAAAGTCTAGTGTTTCCCTATTTGCTTTTTGTGAAATTTGGCAGCAAATCATCTATTTTTCGGGAAGTTCTAAACCTGGGAAGTTCAAAACCTAAAGCAGTTCTCTTTTGAATTTTAGCTGTTTAGAGAAATGTGTCTTAAATCTGGTACGTTTCCAATAAACACTTTTGGTTTTACCATTACTGAGTTCCAGATGAATTCTCAGTATCAGAGTGTCGACTTCTCTGCCTTGGTTTATCCATCAGGAAACGTACGTTTGTCTCTGTGTCATTTGATCAGGAAGATTTCAAGATGTTTACAGAAGAGTCACTAGCACACTAAACATCACTCACACCACCTGCCTCCTGGGCAGCAAAACACAAGGGATTAGATCATGTAACCATGACGCATCCAGGGTGAGGGCGACGCATCCAGGGTGAGGACAACACATCGATCACATCTACTGCTGAAGCGTCCTGTTACATGATCTTGCTCTTGATACCATGCTGCCCTGGGGAGAGTGAATGTCACCATGTTTCTTCTGCGTCTCACTGCAGCTTGTACGAGGTCACCAGGCTGGGACGGACGCCAGGCTCCAGCCCCATCCCAACACCTACCATGCAAGGTGTGTGTGGGACTGGAGCACGTCCACGGAGCCTCCCCATGCATCTTGCCCTTCCTGGCAGCACCTGGCAGTACAGGGCTGAGCCGACTCTGACTGATTTATTATCAAGTTATCCACAAACTTCTTTGTGTCAGCCGCTTTGTATAAGTGGGGTGATCCCTGCTCAGACACAAAGCCAGGTGTGTAGGTAGCAGCTGCCTTCCACCACCCAGTGCCCACTGCCCTCTGTGCAGCACTGCAGGAAGGCTCTCCAGCAGCTCTCTAGCAGGCTGAGTTTGACCCATGCTGTCCAAACTAGGAGCTACGCAGCATATGGCCTGAAAGCCTTTGATTCCATCAAAGTCTTCAGTGGGCTCTAAAAGAATTGAAGTCAACCTGTTGTTTTTTTTCCCTTTGACCAGAGCGGTGCCACTCCACCCACCTCACGAAAGGGCTCTGTGCTGGTCAGATCCACCGAGTGTTTCCAGGAAGACCAGAAGCAGCTTTACAACATCCCATCCAGCACAGAGAAGGCAGGAACTGTTATCCAGAAAGATTCACTAGTGGGCAATGTAAGTAAGACTTGTTGGACACGAGACAATAATCCGTCATTACTATGATATTGGGCATGTGTGCTGAACCTCTTTCAAGGTGATCACAGGGATAAGGCCAGCACATCTTCAGTGCAGTACTTTGTCTTTCATATTAAAGACATGAATACTACCTGGCTTCTGGATAGTCGAGGTATCTACCAGGACTAGGAGTACTACTACATTTACATTTGCTTTTTAGGCTGTAGGCAACAAGATCTCTTGCCTTAACTTCTTTTTATGACAGCGTGAAAAGCAAATTCAATACTCTACTGTTGTGGTTTAGTCCAGCCGGCAACTAAAAGCCACGCAGCCACCCACTCACCCTGGGGAATGGGGAAGAGAATTAAAGGGGAAAAGGGAAGGAGACTCATGGTTGAGATAAGAACAATTTAATAATAATTTAAAATTTAAAGTAATTATTATAATAATTTTTATATATGTTTATAATGATAATAATATATACAAGCAATGCCAACTTTCCTGAAGAGTTGTAGGATCCAAGAGAATTTTGACAGGCTCCTTAGCACATACCCCCAGGGCTGAGGTACAGGATCTCAGGGCAGACCATCCCAGCGCAGGAAATCTGAGGTTTCCTGGTCCTGTGGATTTAAAGAGAAGTGCTGTAGGTTCACGGCTGGCCCAGGACTGGAGATGCCAGTCTTGCAGTGACAGTAGGACTGGTGCTACCCAGAAGTGGGACGCTCATGTAAGAGCAATTGCTCATTGAAGCTGCCCTTCCTGACGTCTCCATGGCTGTTAACAATTGCACCAACCAGCCACAACAGCCTGGGAGCAGATTTCCTTTTGGAGACACGGTTTATTGTTGCTTCCAAAATCAAATTTTCTTAGAATTCTTTGTTCATGGGCAATTTGGAAAATTCTGGTTTTGGCCTGAAACACTCTTGTCTGGGTTCCCCTTCTCATACATCTTTTCTGCAGATGGGGAAGCCTGACCTGGCCGTTTTTTTCTAAAATTTTTATTACATAGTGGTACCTTAATATGTGCAGCTTGTGCATTTTAGAAAGGAAATAAAAACTATGGGTTAGCCTTTTTGTAGTGCAGTTCCATTGACATTACTGGAGTTGCATACATTTACATGCTCTAAGAATCCAGTTTTGTTTCTTGGTTCTTGTTTAAAAATACTGGTTTTAAATCCTGTGTGTTCTCTTGCAGTTATATGATGTCCCTCCCAAAAGAGAAACTGATGTTTCAGAAAATGATTCTCAGAAAAACTTCTGGGGCCATTACAATACTTTGCCAAATCCTCGAAAGTCAGAATGGATTTATGATATTCCAGTATCACCTGAAAAAACAGGGTTAAAACAAAACCCTTCTGGCCATTCCTTGGAGAACCAGGTGCTGTATGATAAACCACCAGCAAGGTACAAAGCGCTAACAACAAATACTGAAGCCAAAGTTGTAAATCCACAACTATATGACATCCCACCAACACAACGGAAATTAACGCTTCCAGATATCCGTCTCTATGATGTTCCATCCTCACGGGACATGCTCCTTTTGCCACAAAATGGTAGCTGTGATATACCTCCAGGTCTCCTGGCTCCAAAGGCTGAGAATCAGATTCCTGAAGAGAATGTTTATGATATTCCAAAAAGTTTGCCCACTGCTTTGCAGTCCAAGAAAGAGATGGGAAAAAACAGCGATAGTTCTGGAGACCAAGCACACAGTGCTCCTCCACAGGTCTCAAGAGATGCTAAATTGGAACAAGACAGACTATCTGTTTCTAGTGTGGACAGCAGAAGCAGCACACTCTCTACGTTCTCAAATCATTCTGCTGAGTCTTCTTCTATGTCGTCATCAGAAGAGCCTGCCAAAGAAATTAAATTGGACCTTGAGGTAGCCATAGAGACACTGACTAGATTGCAGCACAGTGTATCCAGCTCGGTTGCCAGTTTAATGATCTTTGTGAGTAGTAAATGGAGATTACAAGAGCACCTCGAGAAAAGCCTTGAAGAAATCCATAGAGCCGTCGATCACATAAAGGTATCACTGGAAGAATTCTTGGCCTTTGCTCAAGTTGTAAAGGTAAATACCTCTTACCTCACTGATAACAACCTTCAGACCAGAATTAAAAAGCAGTTAGAAATTCTTGTGAACTCATTCCAAATCTTAACAGAAACGAGAGAAGCTATAAACAACTGCAACTGGTCACTAGAGGCTTTGGTCCTCAGAAAACCTCAGAACAATCCAGATGATCTTGATCGCTTTGTTATGGTAGCCCGCACAATTCCAGACGATATCAAAAGGTTTGTATCCATTATCATTGCCAATGGAAAGCTGCTCTTCAGAAAGAATAAGAAGGAGCAAGAAATGAAGCAATCAAAAGTGAACCCAGAATACAAAATGGCAAAGCAAATCACAGTGCCAAGAAGAACAGAAATAGATTCACTTCAAAGAAATATTCCTGATAATCCCAACCAAAGTCAGGTCTCTTCTGAGAAACCAAAAGAAAATGCCACTGACGATTGTGACTATGTTCAGTTACAGGTTAGTATAACTGGATTTTACTATCTATATTCCTGATCATTTGCAGATATTAAGCTTATTAGCGTTATTTTATCTTTGCGCTAGTGCCAAATTCAGTTTGCACTGCTTCCTATTTTCCAGACTTTATGTGAATTCAGGATTTTGGTAGTGTGTTAGATGGCATAGGTAGAACGACAGTAATTTCAAGTAATAAAGAGAACTGGCATTTGAGAATTTACCCAGGCAGCTGGCCAGCCAGCACTGAGAAAAGATTAAAGATTGCCCATTTAAATTAATTTGAGAGACAGCTTTTAGCTGGGGGATAGCAATTTGTCTCTTCTCTTTTGACTAGTAGTTCTCTTCTTGCCAGTACATTTTGTTTGACTCGGACATAACCATATGAGAGGTGTTAACTGTCTAACTTGAGGTATAGAGGAAAGCATGCTTTTGTAGAAAATTTTGATTAAACAAATTAAACTCTTACTGTGAATTATCAGATTTATTTGTTAGAATAATTTTGGATGTTTTAGAATAATTCTTAAAATTACTGAAATGTCTACTAAGAATATAACTCTCTTGGTTCCACAAAGAAATGCTGGCTTGTCCTCTGAATTTAGGAAATGTCATTTTGTTGATGTTGGTTTCAGTCTTAGATCTTGCAGGATCAGATGCTATATTTCTACTTAGAAAAAACTACAGTTGCTTCTAATAAAAGTACCATTATTTTCCATACCACGAAAGCTGCATAGCAAGTAGTTATTTCCCCCTGAAATAAGAGAAAAACACATTTATATTTGAATATTTTATGTAAACCATTTCAACTTTGCTTTCATTTTGATTTGTAACAGGCACAGAAAATAATTTCAGGTAAAGTAGCAGCAAAGAAGAGTACAGATTCAAAACCAAAGGTATTTCTGATTTTGAAAACTTATTACTTATGAGGGCTTCTAGACCCTGATTTCTGTGCTTGCTATAATTTAAAATAATTTACATTTGGACACACATATCTACACATAGATATCTATTTGTTTTCTCACAGTTCATTTTCCCAGAACTTGTTCT